AACAGATTTTTGTATCCCTCACTATTGCTGTTGTGTATAGTCGTTTGCTAACTACATGGGTTAGCCAAAAAGTTTTACATTGACGCAGTTCCATTTAAAACTGTGACCTATATGATAATCCCTCCATATATAAAGCAGTAAGGTTTTCTGTCTGTCTGTTTGTAACCAGGGGCGGGGCTTACGCCGAAATCATTATTGAAAGCATCCGTATGTAAGCCAAGGGCTCGAAAAGGTGGGAAATCACAGAACGGATTGGGGGCAGCGGTAAAAGTAAGAAATTCATCAGGTCACACGATGTCGATCGATATCGATCGAAAATATCGCGTTTTTGCGCAGAGAGCTCGATGGCGGCTGGGATACGGCATTGATTGGTTTGCTGTAGAAAAGTGGAAATTTTACTGTCATATGCATCGATCAATATCGTCGAAATATCGGTTTTAGCGCAAGAGCTCGAAGGAGGCTGAGACCACAGTATTGATAGGGGCAGCGTCAAAGTAGAAATTTATCAGGGCACATGCTATCGATCCATATCGATCGAAAATATCGGTTATTGCGCAGAGGGCTAAAGGAGGCTGAGAAACCACAGTATTGATAGGGGGCAGCGGTCAAAGTGGAAATTTTATCGTGTCATATGCCATCGATCAATATCGATCGAAAATATCGGTTTCAGCGCAGAGGGCTCGAAAGGGGTGAGAATCACAGCATTGATGGGGGCAGTGATCAAAGTCGGAATTTTATCGGGAACATTATATTTATTTTTGGGTTCATGAATAAACAATTGCAACCCGCCCGACAACTTGAGGGGTACTTTTAAAGAAAAGGAAAGTGAGCTCTCTTCTCTAGAGCGGATATGATCCACCACAGCTGGAGAGACGTCGACACCACAACTCATAAACGCGGAACCGGATCGCTGGCTCTTTGTGTCCACACTTGAGCACCTTCAGTGTTATTGTATGTTTCCCAGTTTGGAAATGTTGAAGACCACCGTGCAGAGAAAAAAGAGGATACCGGGGATAAACCGGAAAAAATAAATTAGAATAATAAGCTTCAAAAAATTGGGGGTAAACCCTGCCACAAAAAGGTGATCTGATAATAAACGATTCTTCTTTGAAAATATAAGAAAAGTATCTTCTTGAAAATAAGAAAAGTCTTTCGAGAAGCAAGTTCTTCTTACCTGTGATTTCTTCTTCCTCTCTTCGATTAGAATTAGCACTGAATAAAGTACTTGAATGAAAATTCGCCAACAAGTGGGAAAACGAATTACAATCCAAAAATTTCTTTTTCGGATTGAATCATCCTGAAATTGGTGAAGATGGTCAGGTTTCCAACGACTTCAGAATACAGTGAGGGCAGTCCTGCCACGTTCGGGTTGATCACTCGAATCTGAGGGGAGAGAAGTTAGGGTTTGGTGACAACCAGCTACGAACGTCCCTAGAGGACCACAAAACAAACCGCGACAATAGCAACCGTCACAAGGATGGAAAACTTCAGAGAACTCAGGCCCATTTTGAAATTTAGGCCATTCGCGGGGTGACGCCGTTAACGGTGACTCTAGATCAAGCGAGTCGTGGCGGAACCCCGCTGCCTCTGTAATGTAAATTTTCAAGCACTAACCTTAGTGCTTGAAGATACTCCCTGCCTTGCGGGCAAGTGCTTGCTCCAATTTCTGTTTCTTCTTTTTCCAATGACCTTTCTCTTCAGGCCTACCACACAAGGCCTTATTGTGGCTCCCTTTACCGCAGTATGCACAGGCTTCTCTTTCGGCGCATGTTCCGATATGGTTCTTGAGGCAGAACCTGCATCCCTGGCATCTCTTTAAGATTTCTTTTCTTTCATTTACGACTCGCACATTTGAACACTTATCGGGTTTATGTTTCCCCTTGTCTTGACAAAAGATGCATATGAGAGGATTCCCATTGTCGTCGATCACTAAGCATTCTTCGTCTTCGTACGTTCTTTCTTCACTTGAAAGTTTCCAATTCATTGGTGATTGCAAGGAGTTCCATTCTTCCATTCGAGCGTTTACCTTCTTTGGACTTGCTGACTTTCTTGACGATTTTTCTTGAGTGGGGGACTCCTCCTTTTCACGTACTCACCGACTCTGAATCTGTATCTGCGGTTCTTGACGTTTCTTGCCTTGTCTGTTTGTTTGACTCCTGTGGTGCCTGGACTTTTACGAGCCGCTGGATCTGTGCCTGCTATGATGCTTCCATTTTTCTCTCGATGGTATATTTAATCCTTTCTATGCCGTCCTGGAATTTCTTCTTTAACTCTTTTAATTTGTTGTCGATATCTTGCCTGATATCATCGACTTCCTTTTTTATCGCTTCCAGTTGGGCGTCGTAGTGTTCCGTAAGTCCTCCATATTTTCCTTTTCTTCTTCGCTCCTCTCGGGACGCTCGACAAGGCATTTGAACTCTTTTCCAATCGTATTCCTGAATTCATTGTCCAGTTGCGTTAAGTGCGTAGCTTCGGAGTCTATAAGTTGTCATCGTCGTTTCCAATGATATGGGTCTATGCTTAGGTGGTCTGGGCTTGTGTTCAAAGGCTCTTCTACTTTGAGGTGATGCAAATCCAGTCTCAATGAGTAGTTCGTAGACATCCCACAGTATTTTTGATTCCCTTCTTAGATACGACATAGCTCACACCAATTCTGTGGTTTGCTTGGTCCACGCGCATGCCTCGGTAAAGAATTTCTTATCGCAATCTTCGCATTCGATTAGCGTGGTTCTGAGCCTCATAAACTCTTGAGTCACGACTGCGCAATCCTCCATGATTTTTCCAGGAGGAAATAGTCTGCGTATTCTAAATATCTCTTCACGTCATGGCTCTTCTTGTGCTTCGGTAAATCCTTTCCATAAGTTCTCTTGCTTCTTCTCTTACCGCCATTCTGTAATAATTATCATTTCTTTCAAATACTTGCTCATCTTCTATTTCTGTGACAATTATATTGATAAAGGTTTCTTCTATGTCTTGTTGAAATTTCTGATTATTTCTTTGTCGCAGGTTGTAGTTGTATGTGTTTTGTAGTTCTGTGTGAGTCGAGTTTGGTGGTGGCAAATAAAGGTCTGACTTTGAAGGAATTAAGTGATTGATTGTTCTTCTCAGTATTCTTCTTCTTGTCGTTGTTCGTTCAGACTTCTGCTTCTCTTGGTTTTCCGTCGTTGAATCTTGATAGCTTGTTTATCCTCCCTCCTGCTGGTCGGACCGCCCACCGCGGCACTCATCTACGTCGTCTCGCTGATCTGTGTGCTCCCTATTATCGAAGAATTTTATCTCTCAAGTGTTATTAGCACTTATCTGATGTTTTGCTTATTCTCTTTCACATCGCGAATAGAGCAAAGAATTTTCATCTTCAAATCCAACGAGTTCTCTTTTTTTCCTGAGAGATGCCGTTTAAGGGAATCACTAGCATATTTGGGTCTGGTGTGAAAACAGGCAAGGTATCACACCATAAAAAGGTTCGCTTCATCATGAAATACAGGCAAGTTCGCAGTAGCTCCCATCGTTTGGATGCCCAAGGAATTTAGTGATTGTAGGATAAGATGTTGGCGGGATTCATGAACTCCCGAACTTCTCATTTTTGGCAGAGGTTCATCTACCACTCGATCGGGGGAAAGACTGTGATTACGAATGTCCAATATGTTATAATACTTAGATATGAATGATATTCATGTTTGTATTCATCGAATGAACGCCCTTAATAGTACCTGTTTCTCGCACGAATTTTGAGCAAAGATTTTATTTGATTTGCTTCTAATTTTTCTCCAAAGTGTAGCGGTAGCTCAACTTTGCGGTGAATGCATCTGTTCGGCTAGCACTGTATGTTATGACAGGTACGAGGCTGTTATTTGACGCGAGTACAGTGCCGACGTCTTCTTGTGAACAAAACCTGAAAGTGTTCCAGAGTTGATATTTTCATATTGTCCTAACTTTGTACCTGTAACCAGTGCGGCCTTTATCTGGGTGTGCCTTAATCTCAACACCAGCATAAATGCATCCATCTTTAGAAAATTTAGCAGGGAGCTCCGCAATCTTCACTTCTATCTTCGCATTGCCTACATTGTCCGGCACCTTAAGATGATCGATTTTTTAAGTTCGGTACAATTTCTAAAAAGGCACATACCTTAATCCAATCGGTACATCTTTTATATTCGTCCAGTTCCTCACCGACTTCCCCAGCGGCTAGAGTGTTTTCAATCGTTTTCCAATCGGTGGAAGCCTCCCATTCAGCACCGCAATTGGATGGCTAAATCGAATTCATGAGATAATGTTTACTTGTGAAGAGATTAATCACCTTTTCCCCGCATAAGAGTCCACCGTACCCGCTAGGGCAAACGCACTTGGAACAATTCCGAGGATGAGCAAATCCATCATTCTGGCAAGCTGGTTTATTGTTTTCGCATGCGCCTTAAACATTATTTGTGCACACATGGGTTGTGCAAGGTTTTTCTCGCACGTTACTCACCGAGGCAATCGTAGAGTTTATTCATCATAAGCAGGTCGTAAAACGAAATGATATCAGATCCAAGAGTATCCGTATAATTACCGTCTGTGGCTTCCATAACACGCCGACTGTCGTCAATGGCAGCGTTAGGGCTAAAAATTGCTTGCTCGTATTCCGCGGATACGTCTCAAATTTGTTCTACCTTCTGGATCCGTAATGCATTATGCTACCGTAGTCGTAGGTCACATCATAGTTGTCGTTCGTTGCACTGTCCTGCTTTTCGAACTGGTCACGCCAGTCAGGCTGAAGTGGTCAGCCTGATTGTAGTCCTTCTACAGTACTCACAGACCTTACCTTAACATTATCTTCGATGACTCTAATGTAGTTGTCACGGTCATATCTTGATTGGGTGTGGAAGAATCCAAGTACATGACCAATTTCGTGGGCAACAATCCCAACCTGCAGCAGGACGAAAGGTTTTGTTGGCAAATTTGCTGCTGACTCATATGTCTTCATAGGAATGTGAGTATCACAGGAAGAAAGGTCTTCAGATTCATACCGTTCCACAGCCTTCGCCGAGCGTGATATTCTGCGGACCTGGTTTTGGTTTACCAACAAGCGAAACGCATCCATCTCCAGGTTCGACGTCAAGGAAATTCGAAGCTGAAGCACTAGCTTTCTGCTGTGAAAGAGCACTGTATTTATCTCACCATAATGTAAAGCCCGCAAATTAAGCTGGTGTGCTTTTGTATTTAACCTCAAACTCGTAATTGAACGAGCCTAAATTTTTAGAGCGTTCACTGTGGCATGGAAAGGAATGTTGGCAAGGGGGGCGTTTTTTTCTGGCAGAATAGGACAGCTATCTAAATTTGAAAACAACATAGTGCCACTTACTACGAAAACCCGGTTTAGTCCAATCGTATTCTTCGATATCAATGCACGTGTCGTCCCTCCATAACTGCGCTGCTTTTCTGAAGGCAGCCTTGACCTTTTCGTCTGAACATGAAGAAAATTTTGCTCATCAGTCGCTTGTGCGATAGGATTTTAGAGCGACTGACCTGTATGGAAAATTAACATATATGGGACCTTTTTATCGGGCCATCTTCTACTTAGGTCACTCATTGCTTGCCGTTTAGAACGAGTTCTCATTTGGTCTTTCTGCTCCCTTAATACAGCTCGAAATTTTGTCAGAAAAGTTGGTAGAAATCGGTCGAAAACCAGCCTTGTAAGGAGAATATCTCCCTGGTACAGCGAATGTGCAACCCCGCTCTTCTGGTTGATTTCCTCAATCGTGTCTCCCATTTCATTCTCATTTTCATCAACAACTTCTTTCTTAAACGACTCCAAATGATCCTTCTAGAAAAATTGCTTCATTTGAAAAGGTCTACTCACTTTGCGTCTCTCGAGAAGTTTTTCTTTTCTCTCTGTAGAGGAGTGGAGCGAGTGCGATTTGTGCCGCTGCTGTGGCATTGCTTCCACACATACAGCCACGAGCATGGCAAATGCAAGGACCTTCATTCTGAAATGTAAAGCTGAAAGAAGATTTCGTCGGTCACGAGAAATGGGAAGCGTGCCGGTGGATGTGGTTGTTACCATCTTCTCGCTTTATATAGTCCTTTCAAGCGTTGCAGTTGACATTACGGGGATGGTTCGCAATGTGGTCTCAGTGACGTAAACCATTGCCATTTCAGCTGCTGCTCTGTCTGACTCTACGGTGATATATTGCATATTGTGAGGTATACTGTAAACGCCGTTGTGAAGACGAATCGATTAGTAACTCTGCGTCAACCGCACGCGTTTTTAAAAAGAAAGCGTACGAGTTTCTGGCGACACAAACAGCTGTGGATAACAAGAAGATTATGATACACGAGCCAGCCATATATGTATAAATACATACCTCAAGTTTTAATAAGCCGAAGGTATCCTTATAACTCGAAATGCATTAATCCATATGCTGTTTTTGTGGCAACGTGACACATAATATGAAGCGAATTATCCTGCGACATATTTCTGAGATCATTTTGATAAGCACTGCAGCATTGCAAGCGAAAAGAAAATTCGAATCTCCAGGCTGGCCATCCTAATCTATTTGAATTGTTCTTTAGTAGCATTGAATTTAGAAAATGGCGCTACTTTCGTAGTGCGATCAAATCGAAGTAGGCTATTGAAGCGATCATTAACGTCAACATCGAACTCGTTCGCACAATGTACGCCGAAATGCAGAGGTTTTTGAAAGAAAAAAGGATCAGGAAGCCAGATCACCACCGACTATCTATTCAGTCACCGCATTTCTATACGCGGCGAGTACCTATGGTTAAACAGCAGAGCGAACGCTAGCGCTGAAGACGGCACAACGATGATAGTTGCAGCAATGGGCAAATTAGATAGAGGGCAAGACAGGGATCTCAATTCCTGGGTCCCGAGCCGTTTCTCATGATTCTTCTTCGCCATGCTCCGCTGACCAGAAACGGCCTGGAACCCAGGAAATGAGATCCCTTTCTTGCCCTTTATCTAATTTGCCCATTGCTGCAACAATCATCAAAATGATCTCAGAAATATGTCGCAGGATAATTCGCTTCATATTATGTGTCACGTTGCCACAAAAACAGCATATGGATTAATGCATTTTAAGTATCGAGTTTGATCTGGCTTCCTGATCCTTTTTTCTTTCAAAAACCTCTGCATTTCGGCGTACATTGTGCGAACGAGTTCGATGTTGACGTTAATGATCGCTTCAATAGCCTACTTCGATTTGATCGCACTACGAAAGTAGCGCCATTTTCTAAATTCAATGCTACTGAAGAACAATTCAAATAGATTAGGATGGCCAGCCTGGAGATTCGAATTTTCTTTTCGCTTGCAATGCTGCAGTGCTTATCAAAATGATCTCAGAAATATGTCGCA